TGCTGAGACATCTCTCCAGCCCCAAAGATTGATTCTTAAAAATATGAATGAATCTCTTTAACTTCAATATGAGGAACCCAAAGCCCAAATTTATTAAAGATTTTTTTTTTTTTTAATTCACTCCCAAGTTAGAAGTAGTCTTCAGGACAGTGCCAAGCTTCCTGGTCCTGGGTTTAGTCCTGTCCCATGTCCACTCTTTCAAAAACGTAAATGAACAGGTCTGGGGTTGGGTAGATAATACAACCAGGAGGAGGAACAGAGGTTGGCCTGGGATGTGGATAGCTAGTGGGCAGGGCTGGAGTGTTGACAAAAGAGATGCAGCCTGAAGACTGTGCAGAGAGCCCTGTTTCCCTGAATGAGATGAATCAAGCCTCCTTGGGCACTGCGGCTCTAGATGCTCTTGTTCAGCTGCCAGAGGCACAGAAGAGGGCCCACATCTGTGCAGCATTCGCTCCAGTGTGCCTCTATCTTGGAAGCTTATGAGCCAATGACTGTCATCATGATGAAGCCAGACGACATCTGACCAGAAAGGCCTGTGGGCTCCTTGCCCCTGAGACACTGCTAATGTCTTCCTGATGTGGCAGCTGAGTTGTATAGCACATCAAACACTATAGCATGAGGGAAGGAGCCCAGTCTGCCAGGAACCTGGAATGCATGCAGTGAGAAATAGGAGAGGGTATGAAGACTTGGTACCTGCGGGACAGGGACAACCCCCAAAACTAACATTATCACACAAGCAAGTGTCCGCACTGACCATTCTTATGGAAAATCATGGTCCCGTCCTGGGCAGGCTGGTCTTGGGTGGGTTATGACCAGAGAGTCAGTGTATGCCTTGGGCACTGAGTACACAGTGCCTTAGCCCATATTACTTTTAAGGGCCCATGAAAATTCCTCAGTGTTTTTTGCAGAAGGAAAAAAGGAATTTACAAGTCAAATAATGTTTTGACCTAAAATGTTGCCTTTTCTGTGTGGCCCATATCCTGGTAAAGGAAAGGATGAATGCCACAAAAGAGGGCAAAGAGAAGGCCTCTCCTGATCGTTATTTTCCTGTTGTTAGCACAAATACACAGTGAATCCAGCTTATGTGTCAGAGGCTGTTGCAAGAGTTTGATAGGTATTAATAATTCTCCAAATTATTAGGGCATCTTTGTGAGAGAGAGAGTCCTTACAGTGGAGGAACTGGACAGAGAGGTGAAGTGACTTACCTAGCACCACACAGTTAGTAAGAGGCATAGTTGGGCTAGCACCTACCCATCCACTTGCCTATCCACCCACCTACCTGCCTTTCCACCTACCTACATGTCTGCCTATCCATGCAGCAAGGACAAGTGCAAGTAACAACCTGTAGGTCCATGGAGAGGAGAACATGGCACTACGTATTTCAAGTCAACAGCCTCTTGTCTCCATTGGCCACACTGTTCTGACTGGCTCCCCTGGGACTTCTGGATGGCTAACCCAGATCTCACCCCTCTGCTTCTTCCAGAGACTTGATAATTCCTTCAATAAATCATGTTCAGCTTCAAATGACTAAAGTAATATATGTTCTTTGCATATGAACCACAACCGACCTATTTTCCTAAAGGGTAGTGGATGAAGATGAAGTAAGAGGTATCTTTAATGCCAGTCAGGAAACATGAGTGACTCAGAGAGTTAGCATGCCCACAACAGAACAGGAGAGAAGGTACCAAGAAGGAACCTAGGGCAGTAGGACCTCAAGACCCAGGGCAGAGCACCCAGAGCACAGTGCAGGGCAGATGGGAACAGGACTTCAGGGCCAGACCAGGGTTTGTCCTGTCCTAGTGGTGTTGGGACTTTTCAGCTAGATTCTGTGCATATGTACATAGATAACATGGAACTGGGGAGAAAACACAGATTTTTGCTGAAGCTATGGGGCCAAAGATCACTGGGAGAAGTGATGGACAGAAAACTGCCTAGTGTGCTAGACAACTTTCTGCTGCTATGACAAAACACACTAGAAAAATAACACACAGGAGGAAAGTTTCAGTTTGTCTCACAGTTTCAGACTTTCAGTCACAGTCACTAAGACCTTGTTGTTTTCAGGCTTATGGTGAGTTGGTATATTATGGCAGATGTGTATGGTGGCCAGGGTCTCAACTTTCTATGACCTACTTCCTTCAGTAAGCCTCATTGCCTAAAGTTTCCACCACCTCCCAGACCATCATCAAGGACCACATCTATAACACATGAACATCTGGGAATATTTAAGATTCAAACCATAATACTCAGCTAAGTCCCCTCTTTAAAACCAGACACAGCTGGCCTCAGACTCTAGCCTATACCAGTACTTTCCTACTTATGCAAACTTTGTATCCAAATATACCCTCTGATCTATAATAAAGACCTATGCATTACAATGAAGATACACATAGCAAATGTTTACTTCCTATGTAGACCCTGTGGATGTGACAATGGACAAAATATATCAGAAACCCTTGTCCCCCACAAGACTCACAACTGTAATTTTAAAATTCTTTAATGGGGCTGGAGAGATGGCCCAGTGGTTAAGGATACTGGCTGTTCTTGCAGAAGACCCAGGTTCGAATCCCAGCACCCACGCACCCACATGGCAGCTAATAACTGTCCATAACTCCAGTTCCAGGGAATCTAACGGCCTCTTCTGTCCTCTGCAGGCATTGCATAACATGGGTGCACTTATGTATGTACATGCAGGCAATACATGCACACACATAAAATAAAAATAATAAATAAATAAATTTTGAAAAATTCTTTAATAACAACTTGGAAAATAGAACAGGTAAAATGATCTACAATCTTGTCTAAAGGTTTTGCTGTAGGTATACAGAGGAGGAACTGGTCCTAGAGAGGTGAGGTAACTTGTCCAACACTGCACAGTATTCCTTTTTATCCCTTTGCTTCTTCCTACTTCCCACAAATTTGTTTACTACAAAATTTCTCTAAAATTTTAAAGATTAGCTAAATGTGTATATATATATATTTTTTTAAATTTTATATTTTGTTATATTTTTTCCAGAACCAGAATAATGCTTTAGGGTAATTTATCATGTTTCTTCTCCGCTATCTTGTTGTAGCTAGAATTCCCCAAGAAGCAGAGCCTGACACAAAGTTTCAAGGGCAGTTCTGCCCAGTGCAACTGCCTCCGTTTTATTTATTTTTACTTCTACCATTGGGGAGCATTTCACTATGTGTTCATGTCATTCGTAATTTAAATTCCACAGGATGCACACATTCCTCCACTCTTCCCATTCTCCACTCACTTGTATTTGAGGCTTTGGGTGACCATGTTGATATTTCTGGCTCACTATAAGGGGGAAATGTATGCAACATGAGAAACTTCATTTTATGAACGTCATGACTGCAGGACAGTGTTCTGAGACCTGGGGAGATGACAGTGCTGGCAGTGAGTGGGGAAAGAACGTCTAGGCAGCTCATCAGAGTCCTTATCACACACATGACTTAGAGCTAATGTGTGTTTATATGAAGTTGGCCAAATCAGTTCCTGTGATGGTCATAAAACAGGAGAAAAAAAAAAAAACCTCTTTAATTTTTTTTCTCTGCCAACTACTGTAGCCATTCACTTCTTGGTATTCTTTGGTTTAAATTTCATCACATACCAACAGTTCCATCATGTCTCTTGGAACTAGTCCATGCCATGGTATTTAAAATTGCTGATATTTTTGGAATGATAAAATTACATATGATTGGTGATCTGAGTGATTGTATCTGTATTCCGTTCTCATATTTTAAGAAAGAGGAGAAACTATGCTTTGAAATTGAATGCCAAATTCTATAGTCTTGGTATCCTGGTGGGTGATTTTGGATGGCCATCAGCACGACCAATCAATACTTCTAGAACCTCTCTGAGAAGCAAGGTAGAGAGTGAAGGAAGAGGCTCTGTGCTGACTGCAAAGACAGGGCACCTGCCCGTGGCCACTGTGTACCTGTGGCAAGTCACTCCCTTCCTGGGCCTAGGCCAATGTTTCTCTGGCTTCCTTGCTGTGGGCATCAAAGAAAAGATTAAGCACTTGCTCAAGTGACAGCTACTATAGGAATATGCAGAAGGGAGAACTGGGATTTTGTTGGGTGGTCATGGGGAAGACATGCCCATAAAGCTGTCCTTCTGGGCTGAGCGCTACACTTTGTCACAGTTCCCACTCTAAGCTCAGCTCCTCACTCTGACACAGGTCCCTACTGTGGGACTTTCAACTCACCAAGAAGTCTCAACAGGAAAGTAGATGTTACCAGAGGTGTCATGGGGAGATGAAGGGCAAGATTCCTATAGCCACACTTATGATCTTACTCATCAGAAAGACCTTCCATGTCCTTCCATGGAAATTCATCTTTACCAAAAGGAACCTCAGTTCTGGCCCTACTTGTCCAAGAGAGCCTCCCAGGCTCCACAGCATAGTGTTTCTTGACTCTTTGTACTTCCCTTGGGTATTTCTGAGCATATTCCCCCTTCTGTTCAGAGTTCCACAGAGCCCTTCCCTTTGATCTTGGGCTCTCTTACCATCTTCCTACTCAGCAGTCAGTCAAAACATTCTTTGTAGGCTCTACTTGCCTTTGAAAGCAGGAGGGGAATTTTAATGGTAAGTTCTCTTCTTGTCATGAATTTCCTTTTTCCATTGCCATAGTCTGTTAGGCACTTCCTAGAAACTTGGGCCTCATTTAAAACCAGTCCCTAATTTGGAACAATTTGGCCCTAAGGAAACAAAAGAACTTGCCTCAGGTTATAATCCACAACTGTGATGAACCCATGAGTATAAACAGGGTTGATTCCCAATCTGGTGCTCACCAGCTGCATTAAGTCTAAGATACAAATGAACTGAGAGGCTCTTAGAGTCAGTGGAGCCCCAAACTTTACATTAAAAGTGAACCTGGAGCCCATCTAGAATGAACTACTCATCCTAAAGTGGCTGAGGGAAAAGTTCCATGTCTGTGGCCTCTGAATCCTAAAAGCATAATAAATGAGATAGTTACTGTAAATCATATACACTTACCTGGTGGGTATGATTTCCAGGAACATACACAGACTTAAACTGTCTCATGAGATTCCGAGCTCCAGCAATCTCCCAGAGAGAAGTGAAGAGTTTGTTCACAGCAATTTGGGATTTGGGAAATGTCAGGTTAATTGCAGTGTCACAGCCTGAAATAGTCCAGAGATGTTTTTTTAGGTGAGAAAATCCTTAAATTAAGTTTTCCTCACGAAGCTAGAGCTCAGCGTGACACAGTCTGGAATTTTTTTTAACCCTATTTTACCAGGGCTGTTCACCAACTGGGCTGCTTCAGTAGTGCATGAGCAACAGAACATGATGAACATAAATACTTCTGACAGAAGTAGGGTTCAGAATTGCCTGGAATCAAAGCCACTGGCTTCAATCATAGATAGCTGAAGCCTCGTGGAAAGTAAGCTCCCTAAGCGGGCTGTGATTCTCAGACACAACCTTGGGAAACCACAAGGAGACACATAGGAAATATAAGCAAGTGCTGTGATAAAACCCTTGACTGTATCCTACCAACAGTTTCCAGAAGGTCAGACAGCAAGATGGAGGAAGATGACAGAGCTGCCTCCAAGGCAGAACTAGCTGGGATGGGCAAGTTCTAACAAGGCACCTGGTCCATTTCAAAGGGAGGCAGCTCAGGTCAGTAAAACTCTTGGTTTTGTTAGGAACCCATTCAGAAGAGAAATGATTGAGGAGAAGACAGAAGTGAAAAATACAGGGAACCATTGAAAATGCTAATTCTTGACATACCATGTGTGTTAACTCATCATATCACATCACCCTTGTGAGGTAGTAGCTATGGTCCCCACCACCCCCATTTGTTTTCAAAATTTAAAATTTATTTTATTATTTTTAAGTATGTGCATACATATGTGTCTGAGGGGGTGAGGTATGTGCAGGTGCTGTCAGAGGCCAGAGTCGTGGAATCCCCTGGAGCTGAAGTTACAGGCAGTTGTAAGCTGTATGACATGGGTTCTGGAAACTGAATTTGGGTCCTCTATAAGAGCAGTAAGTGCTCCAGCCCCAGGTTTCCACCTTTTAAGCATGAGGAAACTGAAAGGCAGGTCCAGTTACTCCTGTGTGCAGGCATTGTCACAGCCCTGCCACCTCCACTCAGGCACTGGCCTCACCTGTATGTTTGGTGAGCAGTGCCTGTAGGAACAGGGCCTGCCTGTCTGTTTCTGTCTCTTGTCTGTCTCTAACTCTTCCTTTCTGGGCTTTCTCTGGTTGTAGCAGTTTGTTGGGCTTGCGTGTGGACAGGCTACAAGTGTTGGGCACTCTACAGAAACATCTGCTTTCTCTTCCCTCGGGGGACAATCTGAGTTGTGGGCTCCACTGCCATTCTGAGGGACCTCAGCAGTCTGAGCCCAGCTGCCACACAGGAATTCATTCATAAGCATCCTGCTGGCTGGCTTTCCTTCCTCTACCAGAGCTTCTAGTGATTGAAGACATGTAGCCTGAACCATAGCCTGGCTGATTTCTGATAGAGGTTTTTTGGGGGCAGGGCATGGGGGTTGAATAGTTTCTCCCTCTACTCCAGCTGGCCTGGAACTCATTACATAGACCAGACTGGCCTCCATCTAACAGAGATCTGCCTGCCCCTGCCTCTGCCTCCCGAGTGCTGGGATTAAAGGCATGTGCCACCTTGCCCAGCACTGATAGCAGTTTTATTGAGATGTAATTCACATATCATGTAGCTGTCCATTTAACGTGAGTTCTCCATTTAACGTGCGCACAATTCAATAGCTTCCAGTATATTCGGCAGTCATACAACCACCACCCCACAATCAACTTTAGAATATCTTTATCACCCCAACAGGAAACCTCAAACATGTCACCAGGCATTGCTAGCTCCCCTTGCAACCATCAATTTGCTTTCTGTCACTATGTATTCACCGATTTCTGGATATTTCATATAAATAGAACCATGTGGCCTTTTGCTTCTTGTGTTTACATTGTCTTCAGAGTTCCTCTAGGTTGTGGCATGTGCCACTACTTCAGTTCTTTTTATTGCATGGTTACCTTCCAGTATGGATATAGTACATTTGTATGTCTACTCAGGCACCCAGAATACCTAAGGCTGGGAACTTTATTTTAATTTTTAATTTTTTATAGAATTTTTGTGTATTTCATACAGAAAATCATCTTTATACCCCCTTCCCCTTTAGCACCCTCCCACATCTCCCCCACTGGAGTTCATAGACTCTGTCATTTGTGTTAAGGCCTATCACATAAAGTTAGTGTCCCCAGAGGTCCCTCAGTGTAAGTTCATCCACTGGGATCTAGTCAATCCATCTAGAATCCCTCCCTCAGCTCTTCCTCACCCAGCAGTAATCAGCTGCCAATAATTCTTTGACTACGATTGGGGCCTGCTTTTCATTCCACAGTTCTGTGCTGGGTTTTTTGTCTGCTTAAATTTGCATGGGTCTTGTGCATGCTGACACCATTGCTTTAGGTTCCTATAAGAAGGATCCCAGGCATCTGTAGGACTATTTCCATATGGTCATGTACCTCCTCCCTGGCTCTTACAATCTTTCTGCCCCCTCTTCTGCAATGGCCCCTCAGCCCTGGGTGGGTGGATTTTAATATAGGAGTCCTGTCCAAGGACCCACACTCTGCAGACTCTTATTCTCTGTTTTTAACCACATGTGACCTTTTGTGTTGCTGGCCCTCTGTTGTATGAGGGAACTTCGCTGATGAGAGTTGAAAGATGCACTAGTGTTCTCTTCATCCCTGTTCTATGTTCCATGAGCCTTGGGTATATAGGTTGAATCCTAGATGTGCCACTTAGTCAATTGGCAGACAATCTGTGTGTGTGTGTGTGTGTGTGTGTGTGTGTGTGTGTGTGTGTGTGACCAGTTGTGGAACTCTGTATTTATCTCTGTTTCTTAAAAAAGAAGCTTCTTTGATGGGTGGTGACTGGGATACTTGTCCATAAATTTAAGGATTTATATTTTGCACATAGTAAGAAATTACATTTGTCTAGGGATGTGACAGTCTTGGTGTTTTCTCTAAGACCTATGACCTCTCCAGCTATGTGTATTGACTAGGTTTACAGTATCACACATGAGTTTCCTCCCACTGAGTAGACTTTAAGTCCAATTAGGTAATTGTTGATTACCCCCAAGATAAAAGTGCCACTACTGCACCAATGTCATTTGCTGTGCTGGTCATTGATGTGGGTTTTAGGCCTTGAAGCTGGGGTCGGACCATCGATTGATGTTCTCCCTTAGCAGCTTGCATAGTGCTCTCCAAAGCTATGAGAGCTAGCTGGGAACTTTATAAAGAAAAAAGGTTATCAGCTGGCAGGCATTTGGGTTATTTTGGCCTCTCAATTATTATGAATAATACTGTTAGTTTTACACTAACATGAGTTAAACTAACATGATGAGTTTTCATGTGGACATGCACTCTCATTTCTCATGTATACACTTATAGTGAAGTTGCTGTGTCATTGCAACTCCGTGTCAACCTTCAGAACTGCTGAGCAGCACTCTTTTTCAAGTGTCTTGCTACTACTTTACATTCCCACTAACACTCTAAGAGGGTTTCAATTTCTCCACATCCTCGCAACATTAGTAATATCTATTTTCTTGACTACAGCTATCCTAATGCATGTGAAGTGAGGAGACACTTGTCAATCTTGATAATCAGAGAAATTGTTTTTAGGATGGAGAGAAATAGTCAAACAAACTTAACCTGAAAGGGAGTGTATCTAACATAGACACAAGCATTCAAAAGACCCCAGTTGCACCCGTTATATAAACTCTTAAGGGTGGGCAAATTCCTCTGATAAACATTTTCCCATTTTCCACAAATGTCTCATTGCCCTTAAAAAAAAAAAAATCAAAATGTGGCTACACTAGTCTACTTTCTGTTGTTACAAAAAAAAAAAAAAAAAAAAATTCCGAGTCTGGAAACTTTAAAAAAATAAAAATTTTTGCTTAAAATCTTGGGGGGTTAAAACCAAGAATATGTGGCC